TATCTCCAACCAGATCAAATGAAGTTTTGTCCTAACAAAGTTATAACTATCTAAAGTGAGGTGTCATTTATTCACTCCATCCAAAAGTCAACAAGGATTTACACGGTTCGTGAGGTTCGTGTGATCCGTGAGTCCTTCGTGAGCGATGTAGTTTCGGGCTAACGTCCACAACCGCCCAAGCAACTCCTGTTTCTATTTCGACTTCCACCACAATCGCATCGCAGCTCTGCATGTACATGCTCAACCACTGCAGTGCGCTGGTGGTGGTGGCGTTTTATTAATGTTTATATTGCTTTCCATATGCGCTACCTACATTAGCGCTCCGTTCGCGCGGTGTGCGTGCATAAGGGATTATGTGTCGGCGTAATTGCGACTGTATAGGAATACTGACGAGAACGCGGGCGATAAGAATCGCGTGTCGTGATAAGAACCGCCATTCTCGTGGCCTCCTATTATTACCCCCATCGACCTTAGGAAACGCGTCGCCGCCGCCGCCGCCACTTCTGCGCGGTTGAAAATCATCTATGGAAATGTGAAAAAGTGCCATTGCACTTGGTTGCTCCAAAATACAAACATTCATCAGTTGTTACATAAAACATACTAAAAGCATTCTATTGACATATTATTTTACTGTATTTCGGGTGGTCTTTATTTTCTAAACACAACTGCAGTTAATTATACTTTTATATTCCATGTGGCTATTTTCAAAAAGTTTTGCGTTTTACCTGTCCAATTATTTAGTAAGTAAATATAATTATTTAATGAGGAAAGAACTAATCAAGTATAAGAATTTAAAAATGAAATCTAAATCGCAACATATTTTATATTCTTACCTCTAACTGAACCCCAAAAAGTTCACGTGAGCGTTCCTTGTGTTTTATTTCGTTGTGATTTGATACTATATTTGGCACGACGTTTTCTATTGGACTCATCTGAAAATAAAATAATATTTATTAAAAATTATGGTTTTACAAATTTATAAGACATAGATTTTACATATTATCACTTATAAAGCCTTATCCACAAAATTGGATATAACATGTTCAGTATTAAAAGAGTCGTATAAAAGGAAAGATTTGAAGCAAAAATGTATCAACATAATTTTCGCACTTAATAACAAGAGTTAAACTTGTTGAATTTCAATTTTCACATGAGTACCCCTATAAAAGTGTCCAAAATAAGACAATAATCTTTTATTATTTAGTTTTCTGAAATTAATTCACATAATGATGGATTTACATTCGAATCGAATGATTTATTTAAACTTAATATAAGTTAGTTAATGAAGAACAAATTTAATTTGAACCCTGTGTTTGTTTTTAGTTGCTACTGCAAGGATATTCCGTACCCGTCGAATAATACGTACGATTCACGCAATACATAGATTTATACGCTAGATTCGTGAATTTACATGCAAACTGTTGTAAGAAGAAGGTTCGAATGGCGATGCTCGTGAATTTAACAAGCAGACAAACGTTGCGTTTGTGTCGTAATCGATTCGACTCATCAACACTACCAAGCTATTTGCATCCTGGGAGTTATTGCCACCGACAAAGCTGGTGTGCGAATACACCGATATCTTCGTTTTTCCAACGTCTCTACTTTCTGCACCGGTTTCTTTACCGGCGCTACTCAGTTCTATGAATATTGGCTTACATAACAACCGCAAAGTGCAGTGAACAATGCGGCTTTTATTGTGTTGTTGCACGGTTTTGTTTTACAATTACGATTTAGAACATACCACTTAAATAGCATGTAATTTTAATTTATCTCTGATTTACACAGGTATTAAACAGATTACTTGCATCAATTATTTATTTCTTATAAACCACTTAGAAATATTGTAATATCAAATAATTATAACAAAATAATGTTGAAACTATCAAAAATATTATTTAAATGTATTTATATTCCAGAAGTTGTAACTAGAAGTTTTGTATAAAGTTCTCGTATCCTGCTGTATCTTCACTTTTTAGATTTAAGCGATGGGAAGTGGCGAAACAATGCAGAAAGAGTGTTGAAAATTAATTAACTTTGCGCATTGGCTCGTCGAGGTGGTAAACGAATAAGAAATTACGACCATGAAACGCGTAGAGTGAAAACTTTTCTACTTCCTAATTTTGCGTGTGCAACTTGAGTATTGCTTTGAAATTACTATTTAAGTGCTTACATATTATGGTAATACTTAATTGGCGAATAATATAAAATAAGTGAAAACATGACTTAACTTTTAATTATTGAATGAATGAATTTACACCGATTAAATTTCACTCGCATGTGCTAATGTGACATACAAAATTGCAGGCTTTTTAAGTTATCTGAATTTTAGTATTAGTTGAGATAACTTGTGAATTAAAATTGACTTTAATAAAGAAGCACTTTACACATCTGCAAATTTTGATGAAAAATAATACTATAAAAAATTGGGATGGTATTACAGCAACGTTTGCAAATTATTATAATTATTACGTAACATTTATTTAAACAAATTACTGATTAGAAGTGCAGTTCATATTATTTTCCAAATTGCACTTGCCGTGATTACCGTTCGATAGACAATTGTATAGGTACTACAGATTACGGTACGATATTGTTTAGTGCAAGCAGGTCTGACAATACAAATGAATGCGTAGGCATATGACCATTAGTCCACAACATGATACTTTACATCGAACCACAATCGCAATCGCATAATAAAATCATAGACACACGGAAGGAACGCAAGCGACGTCGAATGAAATATACACAAAAAGAGGTATTACAAGAGCAATCATAGCGACAGACATGGCGGGCAGGAAGACACGAGCGCACGTTGTCGGAAAAGCAATAAATAAATGCTTTGGGAATAAGTGTGAGTAAGCACGATGAGAAACGGGACTCTTTAACTCTTGGCGTTGAAATGTATTGTGATACAATCTTCACATTGTGTGCACTGGAATCATAAATTATTTCAGGTTATAAAATATAATATATACAATTTTCAGGTTAAGTTATGACGATATAATTGAGTACTGAAAAAAAATATTTTCATGTTTCCAGCAAAGCAATTGTGGCTTTGTTTGTTTTACCGTTATTCTACACAAGGGCGTAAATTGTTCGATTAAAAAATGTTAGGTGCTCATATAAATCATTATCTGTGTGTTGATTGGAACAGGTTCAAGATGATGAATAAGTCAGAACAAAAACTTTGAAATTAATATTTTATTTATAAGTTAACATTACATTTATTTTTAATTATGCGTGTTCCTGTTCAAAACGTTATCATTATGATGATTTAGTCTGAGCACATGGTATGGCATTAAAAGAACCACGATCCTTCTAAACTATCTGTGAATTCTTCCAGTGCCAAGCCACGCGCACCAGCTGTGAGCACCAATTCAATTCAAAACACTATCAGCACCAAATCCAATACGCAAAACTAACTTGTGTTTGTGTATCCTTCAATTGACATCAACATCAAGACCGTGTGTGTGTGGAGCGGGTCATTCATTGCCAGGAATTGAACAACTTCTGTGTTATTTGTTTGAGCGTAGGCAGTACCTAGGTGACCGCGTAATAATTCCTCGCCGGAATTGATATGTTGACGATTAGAGCGCAAGTGCACCCCACCTCGTCCGTATGCTTTTTATCCGGGCGCTATTATCGTGCCAACCCCGGCCGAATATGCACGCACCCCTAATCTACAATCAGATTTGACGTCATTCGGTCACGACATCGGTGGCGCGGTTGCCTGTTTTCGAAGAATCGAAGCAACTGCGCCCCCACCGCACGAATCATAATGGTGTATGAGCCATGAGCTGTGAGGAACGAGGAAGTCGTCAAGTCGTCAGCAAGGAAAAGATACAAGGGTCGGTGGGGGAGTGTAAACGTAGGCGAGCGCAATACGCATACGACACGCAGAGAACTGCGAAACGAAGAAGTCGACGGAAAGGTGGAAAGGTGAAAGGATCGGCTTTTGATGGCAGACGGCACACGATGGCACCGAATATAGGGGGGTAGTTTGCTCCCTTCCTAGGCTGGCGCCAAAGTAGAGCAACACTTAGCCAAATTACCCTCGAAATCCACAAAACCCGTTAGTATTTCTCGATGGACAAATACTTTTTAACTGGCTGTTTACAATGATGCAAAACTATAATTTTGAAGAATGGATGTGCTAGGTTGTGAATTAGCTACAGTATCGTGCAAATAATAACAGGGGAAGATTTCATAGATGAACACCGCGAAGCAACGAAGGATAGGTCGTCAGCTAGGCGAAAAAAATCAATTTTAAAGGTTATTACTACACGTCGTGCGGCTGTTATTGATTAGTTTGATGGCCTCGTCGGTCTAGCCGTTAATGGAAATGAATGAAATGAAGCACTAAATGTAATTTACTTTTCCTCATCACTGTTGAGCCTCCACCTACACCTGCATACGTATTATTAACAAAGCAGCTTAATTACTGCTGATTACTGTTACTTAATCATTGTACCAAAACACAAGTTAGTTTTACCCATTCGATTTTTGCGCCGTAATGCCGCACCTTTACTGAACCGCATTTCGTGTAGCGGCTGAAATATTTAACTCTTATCAATCGCAACATTCTGCGAGCGCTTTTGGATTTCCCGCTGCGTATTATATTAACGAAACACTTTTGTTTAACGCTCCGTTGGTTGTTTGTTAATAAACCAAAAATAAATCAAAACACAACACAAAACAAACTTGATGTCGCGATGGTCTTGATTTCTTGATTTGTTGGTTGAAGTTAAAATATTAAAGCAAACTTTCGTATTCAAAGTCTGGAGTAACTTGGTTGGTGCGTGGTGGAAAAGCGGCCAGAACCGAACTGAAACCGATGGATTTCACATGAAAACTGTAAGCAGTTAGGTGGAAACTTTTTGACGTCGACGTTGGTTGATATTCAAATGGTACGACAATGCACATGACAACAACGCAGGCGTACTGCACCTACCTACCGCGCCGACAAACAACACACACACTCCGCGCACAATAAGAACCGCCGCACATGATTATACCAGGCGCGCAACGCGCACAGCGCCACGCCGTTTTCGTGTGTGTACAGAGTGTGGCGAGGATGTAAGGAACGCGCGATGCGTCGTTTTGCTATGGCGATGGCCATTGGGTAGCGGGTATGCGCGGCGCGGCATCCAAGGTTTTCGCCGATGCCGGAAGCCGGCCGTCATGCAACAGTGCTATTTTACGTCCCCGACCATAGTTTAATACACTCGCTCTTAATTCGAACCCGCATCCTACGTTTATATGTGGATAATGATATAAAACCTTAAAATATTTGCAGAATATCAACATACTCGTATGAGAAGTTCATAGAACTTAGAAACATCTGACCTGCTGGTAAGGGACAATTTGCTACAAGATTGCCAATGTTTTGGGATTTTACTTTTGGGAACTCTAACGGTTTTTTATTAGGATGATTATGTGAGTCATACCATTATTAAAAAATTATTGTTGATATTTGTCATTATTCATTAAGACTGGTGCATAGTGTTTGTCCGGTAGTTTTTGTTTCTTTGTTTGTTTGCACAAATAATATATGTAATAATGGTACTGGTTATTTGGCTTTCCATGCCTTGACATGCAAATTACGAATTAGTTGTGTTCACTCTGAATTACGTTTCTTTTGAAATAGTTTTGTGGCACAATTTTGTATTACATCGTTTTTTCAACGGGAAGTTTTTAAAATTGCAATTTTATTTTAGAGAATGGTAACTAAGAAGATTAACTGGTTAGATTATTCGATCTTTGCAAGATATAAGAAAACGGAAACTAGATACTAAGCAGGTGTGTAGTACCTAACATGTGCTGATACGGTTTCAAAATAGGGTACCATAGAATAAGGGTGAAATAACGTTAAATTGATAACAAAGATAATATCAATTATAAAATTAACATTTTAGTTGAATTTCAACTGACGGGTACTCATTTTGTTTTCAAATTAATTTAAAAATTGATATATTCATTGTTTTGGGTTAGTAAATCCGGTTTTTTAATGTTTTTTCTTAATTTCAGCTCTCCGGAATTCATTTGGCAATATGTTGATCACAATTTACTATTGACCAAACTAAGAAATTGTCAAGTTTTTGGTTTTTTTTTAATAAGAAAGTAAAAATTAATTACATTTTTACTAAAAACTACAGGGACGAACTCGCTACTATAAAATAAAAAGAATTCTGTATCAGATTACCAACAAATGATTAAAAATAGTTTTTTTAATATTTATGGTTCTTATTTCCATAACTTTTTTATATTAAAAAATATCCCTATATAACTCAAGTTCGATGATTACGGCATTATGTTAATTTAAATTATTATTCTACCTACGGTCAGCCACGACCACATTACGCGTAGATTACACTACAGAAAAAAATCAAGGGGTGGATATTTGGTAATTACCCTAATAGCAATCGAAATAACGACATGAATGTGTTATATTTGCATAGTTTTGTCATAAATTATCAGAAACCAGTTATTATAACACACCAGACCTAAAGTAACGCGATTTTTTTGCTTCTAAAAATAAAAACTTACCTTTATTTCGTTATATAACCCAGGTAAATGATAAATCCTGAAACAAATCAAAAATACAAATTAATACACGCCTTAATTTATATTAATACATTTATTAATTTATTTATAAGTTCAATAATAAAAACTATACAACTAATTATTAATCCTGCAATTAAAATCATAAACCCTCCAAATAAATGTGAGAGTGTAATTTTTCAGCTCTCCGATGTTCTTTCCTAGGCCTCGCATGTTTTTCAATATTAAAAGTGTCCCATTTTTTAATTAATCCTGCCTCGGACATCAATAGCAGTAATTTGTTTATTTCCCCAATAATAGGAAGTCCCTTACGACCACAGTATCCATGAAACAATTCAACTCGATATTTACTGGGATACATCACATTCCCCCACTCTTTACTCAAATACTGAGTTCTTCTCCTACTCACAGCCACAGCCCGTTTGATGAGTTGAGGAGCGGTGTTCAACACATCCTCAATGCATTCCTGTGCTTCAATAGAACACAATACGTAGTCCTTGAGCACAGCATTAGATGTAGTACTATTCTCTGCCTTTAAAATACCATGCACCAAGTAAGAACCACCAATGCTCAATTTGGAATTGAGTATTTCTTCTAAAGTGTTAATTTGCTTCTCATAGGCAGGTTTGAACAGAGCTCCCAATAAAGATCCTTGATAAGAGTTGGTTATTAACAAGGCAAATATAATCCACATCAAATAAATCCTTCTGATTATAGGAGGGTATGAATGTGGATCGTTATACATATTTAACAGAAGTCTGTAGATGTTAAACAGATGAGGAATTCCTGGAGATATAATACGACAGATTATGGCAATACTTATTAACGTGCCTAAAACAGCAAGCCATAGTTTGAGACTGAAAGTATGAAACATATTTCGCCATGGTTGTATCCGGTTTGCTACTGGTACCCAGAATACGTAGCTATCGGAGAAGTAACTGTAGGTGCAAGAGAAGTCTTCAAAGTACGATGCGTTCATTTGAGCACCGACAATCAAATCAATTCTGTGATTGAGGACGTCTTTAAACATATTTGTATAGTTGCCGTTAAGGTTTTTGTAGCCCCAATCAGAATAATTATGAGACAGAATATTTATTTCAAAATGTAAACGAGATATCAGTTCTTTTAGCACAAGTGTGACGAATCCATCACCTTCTAGATGTTGGCCGTATGTGTATGGTGGAATTTTATTTAACATTGTTGTAAATGTCCAGTTTTTAAAGGATTTTGCCTTTTTGGCGAAAATATTAAATTTCTTGCTTCGTAAGATGATGTATTGGCATTTTGATCGTTATACTTTGAATATATACTGGGAGTGTAAGTATATCCAATTGGATTGTATACATATTCATCAAATGTGTTTATATCCAATTGATACACATCCATTAACAGATAATTCCAGGTTATATTGAATAAGTCATTAATATCTTTGTTGGTTAAATGTTCTTGTATAATAAATAGTTTCATGTGAGGATTCCATGACTGACCATTATACAAATTCCACAGAAATTGTTGTAAAAGTTCTGTATTGCAGTAGAAAATTATGACGTTAAATTTTACTCTCAAAACTTCAGTGTTAAAATTGTCTGGATAATGATTTGACTGCAAAATAAATGTTGAAGTCGCATATTTCAACAATGATTCGAACAGATTGTCATTTTGTGAATTTTGCGAATTAGTCACAATTAACGTGTTCCTTATTTCTGGTTTATTCAGATAGTTTAAAATACAATTACACATTTTTGGTTCAATTTGAATTTCTTGACCAAACACTAATATTTGACACACATTTATCCATAAACATAGCACTATCTTTATAGGTATAGAAAACATTTCAATATTTTCAATCTTCAACAGTAATATATCTTGTAAGTTATTTTCTCGCGTGGTGCCTAAATACATAACAACACAGTTTAGTTTTTTACTGTTCAATCTACATTTTCTGATGACATATAGTAAGTACATTAAGCAATAAATTTAATCATTCAACGGAATTCATCAAACCCACAAAAACAACAAGTACAATATGTACTTTAGTTTTAGTAAACAAATAACTTGCTCATGTGAATACGTTTTGAAAATACATATTTATAATTGAAATTATGAAACAAAGTTATAAAATTACTTAATATAATTGAAATAATTTTAAAGACATTTGTTTTTGTTTTAAACGTCTCGACGAAATATGCGATACCAAAATAGATGTCTGTTGATGTATTCAAGTAGTTGGTAACAAGTAGGGATATAAAAAAATTAAGAAGAAAAAAATGGAAAAAGTAAAAAGAATGATAAAAAAAACACGAAAAACAGAAGTAATTCAACAAAATCAATTTTGTAGTTAATTAACAAGCTCATGTTTACCAAAAAGGCCTTCGTTGGGAACTTATCAACTTTACTTCCAGCCACCGAATTTTCCAAAAGTCGTCCTGAAGGTTTGTTTAATAAAAATATATCTAATTTAATCTAACCTATTTCCAGGTAAAAATTATTAATTTAATTATTTTAAATTAAAATAGAAATTTATGACTATCTCAATAATAAGAATGTAAGTTGCAAATGATATCCCACAACCATATATAATGCATACTCCTAGAATTTGTTGCAATCTTATTGGTTGATGTTCAATTGATGTTTTCGGAACTTTATGAGTCCTATATGAGTCCCATTTTGAAATCAATCCATTGGCCTTCATCAAAGTAATCAATTCATTTATTCTATCAACAAACGGAGAACTTCTATGAAGATACATCGTTCCCATGAAAACAATATTCTTCTGAATACGAAAAGCCACTTTTGATCTATTATGTTGCATAATATAAGTCATAGTCCGCGTATTCTTCCAAAGTCCAAAGTTTTTAGAAAATAGTCGTTCAAAACAATCAACACCAGAAAGAAGGCAATCTTTCCACTTTGTACGGATAGCAATTGAAGTGCTATCATTCGCATCATAGTATTTTTGCCTCCAGGGTATCCACCAAAGTCCATTCCGCTTGAGGCCATTTTTTCCAGTGAGTTAATTTGTGCTTTGTAACTTGGTTTGAACAAAAAGATTGTTAGTTGACTTTGATAAGATGCTACTAATATCATCGCAGTGGCCAGCCAAGCTGCATACAACACTTTCAACTTGATTCCTTTCCTATGTATTGGTGGTTGAACACTCACTAGTAATCCAAGGACTATGAAACATGGATCATACCAATGATTCAATGGTTCAATTAATATCCACGTTAAAACTACTCCTATCAAAGTTACAAAGACTAGGATCCATAATTCTTTATAAAATATAATAAAAATGTTTTTCCATGCAGGCACCTGAGTAGCCATAGGAACAAAAAATGACACTTCCGCAATAGTATGAGGATAAATATATCTGAACTCTCCTTGATACTGAGCATCAAAATACATTGTGCCAAAAATAAGATCAGCACGTTTTTCAAACAATTCTTTAAACATATTTGTATATGAACCATTCTCTAAACGTACTCCCCAATTACTGTACATATTTTGTTTATACTCATAGTCCAAATGTAGGTAATGTATCACTTCTTGTAAAACTCTTACTTCAAACCCGGAATTATTTTCAAATGCTCCAGGGAAAACATAAGGTACATTAATAAATCCTAATAATCTAAGTGTGCAATTATTAAATGATTGTGATTGACTCTCTTGGAACAGTTTTACACTCTGGTGTTTATATAAATCATTATCCGGATATTGATTACAGTGCATAACGAAGATAGGTGTCAGAAATTTGCATTTACCCTTAGAAAGTGGTTTATATGTCCAAATATCCAACTCGTTAGAAATCAAAATTGTATTTATCAAGTGAATGGTCCAGAGTATCTCAAACACCTTTGGAATGTCTTTGTCTTTACCCAAGAAACTCACAATTGTTTTGGTTGCAGCATTGAAATACTTGCGCTGGTACAAAATAGTTGTTAAATTTTGTAGAATATCAATGGATTTCAATGAAATCACGTAATAGTCCAGTGTTCTTATATATCTTATTAGCGATGCATTGTTGAACTTCATAAATGTTTGTTGTTGTGTAGTTTTTATATGAATATAATATCCAGGTTCGAAAAAATATAAAATTCGTAGGTTGTCGGCCTGTGATAAAAATTTACCCAGACAAATATTCAAATGATATGTTGTATAATCCACTATTGGAAACATGGATGATGATGGTACTATACACAGCAGTAAATACATAATCCGTGCAAATATCATTTTAAAAAATTTTTATTTTTTATTTTCTTGATTTTGTGCAGTTTTGTTTGGTTCCGGTTTTTGTGATACTCATCAGTTCAATAAGGAAAGTGCCCAATGCAGATACAAGTCCAAGACATAAAATAAGCAATGCCGGTAGTAAGTGTTTTATACTTAAACTCTCCGCATCGTGTTCGAAAGAAGATCGATCCTTTTTAAGTGTCTTATATTCGTCCCATTTGTCAATGAGTCCATTTGAAAACAACCAGCCAATTATGTTGTCAAATCTGGTTTTGAAAGGACTGCCCTTCTGCAAATACATGGTTAAGTACATTGTGACACATTCTTTAAATATGAAAAGTGCTCGTCGCTTCAATTTCTTCTTCCGTCCCAGAATAACTCGATACAAAACACTGCGTTTGTTTTTGAAGAAGCCAAACTTTCCTTCGAACATGCGAT